CCTTTGGTACTTGATCATTCCCATAAACATACATAAGTACATATTTACATATATACGTATATTTGATTTCGCTTTTGTATGTGATTGCAATTCTATCCCCAATTCATAAGAATTTTATTATATGGAAAGGTAGAAAGATGATTTTATATGAATGTATGTAAGTATGTATAGAAGGATTAATGACCATGTAAGTGAGGATATTGAGGAATGAAAGTAAAAATGGTAAAGCTAAATATCCATTGAAATGAAGAAATATGTACATATAACATACATATATACATTTTATTATACAATTATAAAAAAAGTCAACCACATTAACACACACACTTATACATACATACACACTTACTTATTTGAAAAAAATTGCAGTTGCTAGGCGCTAAAAAGAGTTCATAAATATTTACATATCTATATACATACATACGGATACATAAGTATGCATTAGTACATTATGTACATATCTAGGTATGGCTATACATAAGTACATATTAAACTGAATTTTTTTTTATAATCTTAAATATGTATGCATTAGGGTGCCTGCAGAGGGACCGCTGAAATTCTCAAATCCTTTCCACAATGCTTTTGAAAATACTAAATATACATAAGTACATACATATGTATGCAATCATTTATTAATTGTTACTAGCATATGTACGTAAGTACATATGTACGTATGTATATGCATCAATTGTTACCAGAATGTAAAAAGTTCGTGAGATCAATAGTACATAGTACATTGCTCCTTTTAATTTAAAAACATAAATACCAATCACATTTTGGAAAAGCTTCAGATTGCCAAGAATGATATAAATTATCTTAAAAGCCTATAGATGCATTATATTGTGTGATACATATTACATTAAATGTGTATACATATGCACATACACTCAATTATACTTACATATGGGAAATAAGCACGCTCATCGGGTAGTCATGTTGAAACCGGATCCAGAATGTTCCGATGACACAAAATTGTAGATATTTGAAAGCCACTGAATGATTTTACATTCAATGGCATCATGTTGTGCAATCTTTTAAAATAATTTCATTTCACTAGTTCATACATTTTATGTAGAAATAATTCGATTCGTTATTATTTATTGAGCAATTAGAGCAGATGCCAAGCTTATTATCGGTGTCGAAAATACATACTTAAATCGAAAGTAGTAAAATCTAACAGAATTGCCTACAGCATGATGCTAGAAATTGTCACCGGAAGTTTGTGTAGTTTTTTCTAGAACAATCTCGTCGTTTCTACATTTTGACATGCAACTTTTGGGCCTCTATAAATAGAGCCACAAACAATATACCGGCATCAGTTGAATTGAGAAAATACGATTGGAAACATTTTGCGCGGAGCAACCAATAAAGTGTTTTGCATATATTTTGCAAGTGAATTGAAAGAATATTATTCAAAGAACAATTAATTTTATACTAAGTTAATATATAAAATAAAATAAAACAAGGTGTGTATTATTGACTATGATTGTAAAATGTAAAAAGCAAAAACCTATTCGAAGAGTTGAACTACAAAAGTTTGTAATAGACGTTAAAAAAATTTATTGATTAATTCTGCAAGGTTAATTGTTTTAAATGAAAATTGAACAAACTTTCTTCTAATCAAACCAATAATTTATTTCTTAAACTAAATATTTTATTTTTTATTGATTATAGATGCCAGAGGAAGTGGAAACCTTTGCTTTCCAAGCTGAAATTGCTCAGCTTATGTCGTTGATCATCAACACATTTTACTCGAATAAAGAAATTTTCCTACGTGAGTTGATTTCCAACGCTTCTGATGCCTTAGATAAAATCCGCTACGAGTCGTTGACTGACCCCACTAAGTTGGATAGTGGTAAGGAGCTGTATATCAAGCTCATTCCCAATAAGACTGCTGGAACCTTGACCATTATTGATACTGGTATTGGTATGACTAAATCTGATTTGGTCAACAATCTCGGTACAATTGCCAAGTCTGGAACAAAGGCATTCATGGAAGCATTACAAGCTGGTGCTGATATTTCCATGATTGGTCAATTTGGTGTTGGTTTCTACTCAGCTTACTTGGTTGCTGATAAGGTAACCGTTACATCAAAGCACAACGATGATGAGCAATACATTTGGGAGTCATCTGCCGGTGGCTCTTTCACTGTCAAACCTGACAATACAGAACCTTTGGGACGTGGTACCAAGATTGTTCTTTATATCAAGGAAGATCAAACGGAATATTTGGAAGAAAGCAAAATCAAAGAGATTGTGAACAAGCACTCACAATTCATTGGTTACCCAATTAAGTTACTGGTTGAAAAAGAACGTGATCAGGAAGTGAGTGACGATGAGGCTGAAGATGACAAGAAAGATGAAGAGAAGAAAGATATGGACACCGATGAGCCGAAGATTGAAGATGTTGGTGAAGATGATGATGCGGATAAAGACAAGGACAAGAAGAAGAAGAAGACCGTAAAGGTTAAATACACCGAAGATGAGGAGTTAAACAAAACCAAACCCATTTGGACCCGCAACCCCGATGATATTTCCCAGGAAGAGTATGGCGAGTTCTACAAATCTCTTACCAATGATTGGGAGGATCATTTGGCCGTTAAACATTTTTCCGTTGAAGGCCAATTGGAGTTCCGTGCTTTGCTCTTTATCCCACGTCGCACTCCCTTCGATTTGTTTGAAAATCAGAAGAAGCGTAACAATATTAAATTGTACGTCCGACGTGTTTTTATCATGGACAATTGTGAAGAACTGATTCCTGAGTATTTGAATTTCATCAAGGGTGTCGTCGACTCTGAGGATTTGCCTTTGAACATCTCCCGTGAAATGTTGCAACAGAACAAAGTATTGAAAGTAATTCGCAAAAATCTGGTAAAGAAAACCATGGAATTGATCGAAGAGCTTACCGAAGACAAAGAGTTGTATAAAAAGTTCTACGATCAATTTGCCAAGAATTTGAAATTGGGTGTGCACGAAGACAGCAACAACCGCGCCAAACTTGCCGACTTCCTGCGCTATCACACTTCAGCTTCTGGTGATGATGCTGCTTCCTTGTCTGATTACGTTTCACGTATGAAGAGTAACCAGAAACACATCTATTTCATCACCGGTGAGTCGAAGGAACAAGTAAGCAACTCTGCCTTCGTAGAACGTGTAAAGGCTCGTGGATTCGAAGTAATCTACATGACGGAACCAATTGATGAATATGTCATCCAACACTTGAAGGAATATAAGGGCAAACAATTGACATCTGTTACCAAAGAAGGTTTGGAGTTGCCTGAAGATGAAGCTGAGAAGAAGAAACGCGAAGAGGACAAGGCTAAATTTGAAAACTTGTGCAAGTTGATGAAGTCGATTTTGGACAACAAAGTTGAAAAGGTCGTTGTATCCAACCGATTGGTTGAGTCGCCATGTTGTATTGTAACATCACAATTCGGTTGGTCAGCTAACATGGAGCGTATAATGAAGGCACAAGCCTTACGTGACACTTCCACTATGGGCTACATGGCCGGAAAAAAACATTTGGAAATCAATCCGGAACATCCAATCATCGAGACTTTGCGCCAGAAGGCCGAGGCTGACAAGAACGATAAGGCTGTAAAAGACTTGTGCATCCTACTTTTCGAGACTGCGCTGTTGTCTTCAGGTTTCTCCTTGGACAGTCCACAAGTGCACGCTTCCCGCATTTATCGCATGATCAAACTTGGTCTTGGAATTGACGAAGAAGAGCCCATGGCAACTGAAGATACTCAAAGCGGAGGTGATGCGCCTCCATTGGTTGATGACACTGAGGATGCCTCACATATGGAAGAAGTCGATTAAATTACATAAATACTGACAAAATTCCAATGTTCCAAAATTTGAATACGAATTTTGCTAGTTTTTACATAATAAGTTCATTTAGTTTACATAATTTTGTATTCGATTTAGCGAATAACTCTAAAATTCTAGACTTATAGCTACTATTTATGTTCAATTAATGAGTATCAAAATAGCATTTTGTTGTCGCGTTTTAAGCGGCCTAATCCTATCAAAAGATGGGAGCTTTCGTTTAAATCGATGTATGCGTGTGAGAATCCACATAGGGATAAATATTTAAATGAACTTAATACTGTATGTTATGGATTCTGTATTAACAATAAGAAATTAAAAATAAACGAATTGTTTATTAAAATCAATTTTGTTGCTTTAAAATTAATTCAGTTGGAGGATATGAGCAGAGATTAAGGTTAAATCAAAAATTTAGCGTACGAATACGTAATTATATTTACAAGGTGCGTTCCAAAGTAAACAGGACTTTTAAAAAAAAGAATAAAAGGTTTTATCGGCAAAATCAATTTTATCAAAATAGTCTCCTGCTTTAATACAGCTTTTTGCACGGTCCAAAAGCATGTCGAACGATTGTTTCAGCTCGTTGCCCGGTATGGCCACCAGTATGCCGCTTTCCTTTCATCGGCAAATGCATTTTTCCGAAAGGGTAGAAGTCGCACGGTGCCATATCAGGTGAATACGGGGAGTGGTTGATTGTTAAAATGTGATTTTTGGTCAAATAATCGGCCACAAGCGTCGATCGATGAGACGGCGCATTATCGTGCAACAAACGCCAACTTCCATCTTCGCGATATTCGGGCCGAACACGTCGAATACGGCGCACCAAACGCTTCAAAACTTCAAGGTAGAATACCGCATTAACTTTTTAGCCGGGTGGAACAAATTCTTTTTCTCTCTTCTTTTGATTTTTTATGAATTCACACACAGTTTCGATGGAATTTTCGGTGATCACGGATTTTGGTTGGCCCACATGTTCATCGTCATTTATGTTTTACCAATTTTAAAGCAAAATTTAATGTTGGCTCTTTGTTCAAAGCTCATTTTCGCACCGATGACAAAAACATACTGCCACTTAAAACGCAATAACTTCACTTCCAATAGATGAAATGTCATGAAATTTTTAATGGAAGTCGATTAAGGATAGCAGATTCTAACGCACTAGTCGATATAAAGATGGCGCCACTAGAGTTTGCTTTGTTACTATTTTACTGTTTACTTTGGAGCGCACCTTGTATTAAGGAATACTTTTGGACCTATGTACAAGTATACTTTGATCTATAGGTTACAGCGATACATGACAGGATTATCTTCGACATTTCATTTTTTAATGGCAATAAAATTTTAAATAATTGGTGCATAAATTATGCGCACATTTGCTCCACCCTGTTTTATGTAAAAAACTCGTTACCTCTGCATTTCTTTTAATTAATAACAATAGTTTAATCAAAAATATTCAATTTTGTTTATCTACGCTGAAAGCAAGGAGTATACTTATAATGTCTGAAGGTCATAAAGACCATGGTGGCGATAAAATGGAAATTTCTTGCCCGCATATAATGCTTGTAAGTTCAAATGGTTTGTGTAATACTGCAAAGCTTATTTGTTGGCATATTTTCAGTTTCATGGTGGGCATTGCGAGCAAATTCTCTGGAAGGGTTGGACGGCAAGGACAATTTTAGAATTTTCATTGTCTGCGTTTGCTATTTTCCTTTTTGCATTCTTGTATGAAGGTGTCAAGTTTTTGCGACAGTTCCTTCTTCGTCGAGAACTAGAAAAGATATCTAAAAACAAAGAGAAGACAGATGTTGTATGCAGTACAATTGCTGGACTTAAAAATAAACACATGTTTAAGCAATTAACAAGACCTCTACATCTTATACAAACCTTATTGTTCTTATTTCAAGTTACATTATCTATGCTACTTATGTTGATATTTATGAGTTTCAATTACTGGTTGTGCCTTTCAATTCTATTAGGCCTTACAGTTGGATACTTTCTGTTTGGTTGGATAAAAGACGATGCCTATGACAGTGATTGCTGCAATTAAAATATATATTTACTAATGCAAAGACATTTGTATCTATTAATACAGTTGAAAAATATTTATTAAGATAAAATAAATTTTAAAATTATTTAACTTTCTAATGAGAAGATAACTTTATTACGTTCAGTAATACAATTTTGCAATTAAATGCAGACTTACTATGTAAATCCAATGATGAAACAATTATTTAAATATTCTTAACATAAACATTCTTCTACATTCTACGTTCCGCATTCCCTCTTTAGTGCTTCGTTTACATTTTCCATTGTGGTAACTCCTTTACTAACCATTATTAATTTATTGCGTGATCGAGATCCCTTATCCAGCGATACGTCGCTTTTCCGTAATCCTAAAAGTTTGGAAAGGTATTTGACGAGCTCTGCGTTTGCTTCTCCTTCTGTGGGCGGTGCTGCTATTTGTATTCCAACTCCTTCATTTCCTATATCCGTAATGCCATTCATTTTGGCACCGGGTTTAGCGAGGATTCGAATGCAAATGTTACCGCTTTTGTCCAACTGCAAAGGACCATCATTTGGTTTCTTCTCATCTACAGGAACAACGGTAGCAAACTTTTTGCTTTTTTTCTTTGACATAACACTTAAAAACGTGTGAAATAACCGCCGCATTCACAAAAATTTATATGAATTTCGCTTCCAAAATAATATAAGATCAGCTGTTATTTGTTTTTTTGATTTAATGGTCTAAATCGATATACATTTTATCGATACCGATTTTTTTAATTGCAATTATCCCTGAAGTCACGACTTCCGAAACTCCATTGTAACATGAAAGATTCGATCTGAAGAAACTCTTTGAAACGTTAACATACATTATTTGCTAATAATAGAATGCTGCCGAGTTGCCAGTCCTTGGATGGATAAAAATCTAGTTCCGTTCTGGTTACGTAGACCCGATGGTTAACAGAAATCTCTGGTCTCGGTATATATACTATTGTATATTTATACTGCGTCTCTGTGTCAATTAATCAACATGAGTAATTAATTTGTCGAGTAGCTAAAATTGGCGATAACAAATAGTATTGTTTCGAATTCAAAGAAACTTTGAATTTTGTAATCCAACTTTTATATGATTATTGCAATTTGGCTTTAAGCGCTTTGCTGCTTAAAATGTACAATAAGTCACTACTTTAAATGGTTTCATTGACAAAATCCGACGTTTTCGTCAACCTGATAACAATATACATTTACTTTTATATAACGTCTATTGAAACAGGTCAAGTTGTATAATAGTTAAGTCTTCATTGCATATTTATCCATATCCATATATCCATGCATTTTTATCCATATCCATATTTACTGCAACAAATTGATACATTTTAATTTACTAATTCCTAAAATAAAAACACAATTTTTTTTTTTCATTTGTAAGAAGTAAAAAATTAATATATTATCATTTCTATACAAAATTACGTAAATCAATTTAAATTTTAAGTTTTATGTTAAATACCGAGCTTACAGTACAATATGTTGCTCGAGAAAAACCAACCAATCACAATAATCACCAAGAAGGAATGCTTTCGAAAATGAATTTATACGTTTTAAACTTGAAAGTACTAAATAATACATTTAATTCCTCAATGTTTATAATTTTCAACATATAAATAAATCCTTTCAGACTTCAAGCACATAAGAATAAACTATTATTTGAAATCATTTAACTTTTTAAAACTATGGCAATTATTTATGATTGGATTTCGGAAGAATATTCATTGCATTTTAAATTAAAGATCTATTTTAGTTTGTGTTTGTAGTTTTACGCTGCTCGAATAGACTGGATTATTTGAAAAATAGCAGAACCGCAAACCACGAATATAAACAGTGCCAAAAGCCAAGGTCCGACAGGGTATTGATTATCTTTGGATTTCTGGAAAGACAAATGAATACTTTATCATTATCAATTTTGTTTACTCCATAATGTAATACAAAAACTTTTCAAATATTTTACAAAACATCAAAATCAAGTGTAAGTTGACATTCCTAAGTATGCACACATGTACAAGTATATGAATACATATAGAAAAAATCAACGAGAAACAAACATTACAGACGCAGAACGTCGGCGTGGCACTTTCACCCGTTTTGTTTTTGACGTTTTTTATAGAACTCACAATTAATTTAGGAAAGAAATTTTTATTGTTTAAAACAGTTAATAATGTTACTTTAAAAATTTCAACATTTTCATTTTTAACATAAAAAATTAACTTTCGATATATTACAGAAAAATTAAGTACACTGATAACTTGTTTGCTCTTACCGATGACTTAGGTACGTTGCCTCGCATGGTCACGTATTTGCTAGCCTTTTCATTGGCGACACGCATCCTTTGTGGTGGGGCCATCTTTTTAGGACTGTTTTGGTTTTGCTATAAAAAAAAATACAGAAAACAAATTTAAAAAAATATTGTAGTCACTGCTACAGGAAAATTACTTGCAAAGCAGCTGTTTTATTAGTTTTAGTTTGATCTTTCTAAGAAATCTAAGTTTTCCGTTCAAATTTCACAGTTTACGATATTTTCAGTTAATAATTATTTTTACCTTTTTTGCCAAAGAAAACAAAATGAACACGTTGAGAGCGACACAACGACACAAGAAAACGACACGTATGAGTAGCCGAACCGAGACTTTGGCAGATAAAAGGGATGCCTCTCTGATCGATTACATAGTTGCATTTTTAATGTTGAAAATTTTATTGCTATGGTGAATTGGTTTTATTTTATACTGTTAGGCTGATACACATTCTTAAAAATGAAAACTTTAATTTGTATTCATAAATTAATTTCGCCGTGATATAAATAATGATTAAATATCTTAATGTCAATTTTAGATTTTATTTAAATCATAATTTTTTGACTTCTTATTTTACAGCATTCAAATTAAATGAGAGCTCTCTTCGACTTCATAACATGTCGGATGATCCAGAAGTACTATGACACTTTACTAGTTCTCTAAATATATCCAATATTTGAAAATAACTTTTACAGTATATATTGTCGTCTCTACCTGATTATTTATAATAATCTTAAATAACCTTTCCTTTCTGAGTGCAGTCAATGCAGGATTTATATTTAAAGAAGAAAATTGTTGTAATTGTTCTTCACAATTTTAATATTAAATTATACATTCGTTTTTCTTTCAAAATATATTTTAAATTATAAACAAACAATCTATTTGGCGCGAACAGCAAGAGCGCTTAAATCAGCGATGCATTTGTCAAGAGTTTCCTTTTCTTGCTGAGGAGTGATTGAACCAAGAACATTGTTTACAATCCAGTTCACCATGTGTTTTTGGTTAATACGGCGATCAATATGACGGCATTCGACTTGGTAATCCAGACGACGTTTTACCTATGATTAGAGGTATATTTTTAAAATACATATATATTACAGAAAAAGTGCATTATACCTCATTGTAAACATTCATGGCGCGTTCACGGAATGCGGCCTCCAATTGTAATGCTATGTTTTCTTTCTTAGCATCCATAAGCAATAAAGCACCTTCAGCACGCCATTGTTCCTTTTTTTCGGCTTCGATAGCATCAGCAAGATTTTGCAGTTCCTCTTCCCGGCCGGATTTCCATTCATTTTCGATTCTCTAGGATATCATTAAAAGTCCCTTGTTAAATATCCTAATCAATTTCAAAATCAAATAATTAAATATATCATACGTCGATTTCCTTATCCGTCCATGCAGCGACAGTTGGTCCAAGTTTCTTTACAGCAACAATTGCCATAATGGCCAGAGACAATCCACTGTAGTATTCATGCTCCATAACGTAAATTTCTTTGGAACATAGGTAGGTAAGCAGACCAACACCAAAAGTGTATGGGCCAGTGACACCAGTTTTATTGTAGAAAAACTGGAACCACTCTTCTGGAATGAAACCTAAACGAACTTTGCCAGGATGTTCCGGACGCTCCCGGCGAACAACTTGATCACCTGAACCGGCCGCACTAGCTGATCTCATAGCTAGAACACCCAAAGGACGTTGAACTGAAAAATCGTACATAAAATCATTATAAGTACGTTGTTAAACCCCATTCACCCATCAATTTTTGCAAAAACTAATTTGACGTTTCACTCGCGATTACATAAACCACGATGACAAAAGTAGTCGCGTAATATGAATATTCTAAAACAAAATTACATCTTTGATTTTGGCAAAGAGAAACTTATTTAATTTATATAACTAAGCTAAAATTATTTTTATTAATATTACCTGAAAGTAAAGCGGTTCTTGACAACATTTCTCAATTTTCAGTAAATAGTTCCTTTGAAGAAAAAATCGACAAAATCAGTTCTATACTGCTCGCCCAAATCAGCTAACTGTCAAATGTCAAGATTTCTTCTTCCTCTTCTTATGAAACATTCACTGCCAAAACTTTCCGTAGTTAAAGTTTTATTAAGCAGGAATTTTTAAACTGAATTTTCATTAGAACTGTGTAAGGGGTTAAAACAGATTATATAAATAGTATATTAAAATACAAATTATTTAAATTGTATACTAAACACAGTTAGTACAATTTTTTTTTCTTGTAGTAGTTTCAAAATAAATACAACTCTGAGATCCTTCCAAGAATAAGCAACATAACACAATCTAATCTTCCAATGTTCTCTGCGACCAGGTGTGAATACAAAAACAAAAATATGCAATTTTTCCGGGTTTGCCTTGCCATTCCATTTTCTCTAAAAGTTCTTTCTTTCTTCATTCTTCCTGTCGGTAAATAATTTCTCCCATTCATTACTGTTATTTAGAATTGTAGTAAAGTGAAATGTACACTAATGCTTTAAAAGCTGGTTGCCGGACAGCAATGCACGCTTGGAAATTCAAAAACGGTAATAGTGTAATTCATTCTTTTGAGATAACCATCTCAGAAGTGAAATTCTGGTTGAAATACTCATGATAGTGATGGCAGAGAATGTTAATGAATATTCGTGTTCTTCTCACTTTATAGTAATACTGATTGTAAAACCACAGAACTTAAAAAGTATTTACAATTTTATTCCATATATATATTATCTTTGCGATTCGATTCCTACACTAATATAGAGTTGGGAAAGTTACGTCTTGATTTGGCAAAAGCAAATACCGAGTTCACACAACATTTATTGAAAGGTAAAACATAAACCAGTGTTGCTTTGATACTTTTACGTCGCCAAACAATTAACATATTGTGATTAAAATGCTTTAATATCTAACGACCTTTAAAATTTTCATTTACTTTGTCAATACTTTTGGAATGCATTTTGAAATTGTGTTTTTGTTTTTTTTTTGAATTTTTTACACATTCTGCTAAGTTCTGCTTGCCGATATTCCAACTGGAAATGAATTTAATCTTTTAGTTGGTAACACTAATCATCTAACAATTTTTGTGCTACTTTTTGCATGCCTTTCCAGCTGTCAGTTGCAATAGTCCCGTTAACTTGACTCGATTCATCAGAAAAATACACGGCGTAAAATTAAGATTTGTACGGAAGAAAATACCGGAATACCAGTCGAGATCAAAATTTTCACAAGAATTTTTGATTGCATTGCGTGCTCGTTTGTATTCGGATTATCATTGTTGTCGCAAATTAACTGCAATTGATGTTGCCTTAGTTATTTCGAAACAGTCAGCCAGCCAATTGCCTTGCATTGTGTACCCAAAAACAAATTGTGCTCCATTATTATCATTTGAAAGTTCTTTATGTACAGAAAATTGTCATTTGTGTGAACATCTGGATACTGCAATTTCTTCAAAGCAATACGTAAAACAGCAAAAACAATTCTATCGCGATTATTCAAGTGCATCTTTGGGAGCACCACTTAAATATACGGAAGCCCCGCTTTTAGGTGATCTCTGCCAAAAGTACGGTTTTGTTATTTCCCGCACATCCGCCGACGCTGATTTTAATTGCGTTGCTGGTCATAGACTCCAAATCCGCCGAAACATGTCCACATCACCTCAAAAGGAGTTTAAGCGCCTTCCAACTGACGTTGTGCCAACGCACTATGTTTTAGAGTTACAGCCGAACTTAGAGGCTTTCACTTTCGAGGGCAATACTAGCGTACACTTAAAGGTATGTGATATATTAAGTACGTGCGAGTGTAAATATATGTATGTGGTGTGAATGAAGGAGGGTAAATATTTATGGGAGTGAATGGGGAATAAAATAAATTTTGCTTTCACTTCTATAGTATTGAAAGAAAGAAAGAAAGAAAGCAGAGCGGCTGCATGGATATTTTAATGACGTTAGCAATTCGAATATTATTTGTCTACGAATATATACATACATACATATGTATATATCAAAATAATGCCTAGAAAATAGTTTTTATTGAAAAAAAGAAGAGATGTTGAATAAAAAATGTACGTAGAATATATGTATATATATTAATCTATACATATACGAAGCCATATTCAAAGCCTTACCATGTCTAATTATCCATGTTTGCCACCATTTGCTGTTGAAAACTGAATGACTTAGTAATTTTCTCTTAAGATAAGAAATACATTTAATAATGAGATAAGAAAATGCAACACAAATACTTTTTACAGTTCTCTATGAGATAGACTATTATTTTTCTTTTTTCGTTTTATCATTGACATATGTTAAAAAAAATATACATTTGTACGCCTTATAGATATGTGACACAACCAAAAGTATTACCCTGAATGCTTTGGACATTACAATAAATAAAGTTGACTTGGAATTAAATGGCGAGATATTAAAACCAAGTAATATTACTTATTCCACTGATAATGAAACTGCCACATTGATCTTCGATCAGGAACTTCCAGCTGCATCTTGCGGTGTTTTGAAAATCTCCTTCGCAGGAGAACTCAACGATAAGATGAAAGGTTTCTATCGAAGCAAGTATTTTACGCCAAGTGGTGAGGAACGATATGCTGGAGTAACTCAATTCGAAGCCACTGATGCTAGACGTTGTTTCCCTTGCTGGGACGAACCAGCTATCAAAGCAACTTTCGACATAGCATTAATCGTGCCACAAGATCGAGTCGCACTATCCAATATGCCTGAGATTCAAGAAGAAAAACTTGAAAATAATTTACGTCGCATACGTTTCGATAGGACTCCAATAATGTCTACGTATTTGGTGGCTGTTGTGGTTGGTGAATATGATTATGTCGAAGGTAAATCCGAAGATGGTGTAATAGTGCGAGTGTTCACACCTATTGGCAAGAAAGAGCAAGGTCTTTTTGCACTTGAAGTGGCTACTAAAGTTTTGCCTTATTATAAGAGTTATTTCAACATTGCATATCCTTTACCAAAAATGGATTTAATAGCGATATCCGATTTTTCGGCGGGTGCCATGGAGAACTGGGGTCTTGTGACATATCGTGAAACTTTTGTATTGGTTGATCCGAAAAATACTTCTCTTATGCGCAAACAATCGATTGCCTTAACTGTGGGACATGAGATAGCCCATCAGTGGTTTGGTAAGTGTAATGTCGTCAATTCATCAATTTTTGCCATCTACGGTTTTTTCTAATTTTTCACTTCTTTTGTTTTTAGGCAATTTGGTTACAATGGAGTGGTGGACCCATTTATGGTTGAATGAAGGCTATGCTTCATTTGTAGAATTTCTATGTGTCAACCACTTGTTTCCTGAGTATGATATTTGGACCCAATTTGTCACAGATATGTATACTCGCGCATTAGAATTGGATTCGTTAAAAAATTCGCATCCCATTGAAGTGCCAGTGGGACATCCATGTGAGATTGATGAAATTTTTGATGAAATTAGTTACAACAAAGGCGCTTCTGTCATTCGTATGCTTCACGACTATATTGGGGAGGAAGACTTTCGGAAGGGGATGAACATTTATCTAACTCGTCATCAATATAAGAACACCTTTACTGAAGATTTATGGGCCGCTTTGCAGGAAGCGAGTTCAAAACCAGTCGCTAAAGTTATGTCTACTTGGATCAAATTGAAAGGGTTCCCAGTAGTAAGTGTGGAGTCTGTTCAAAAGGGTGACAATCAAAGGCTTCTAAAATTGACTCAAAATAAGTTTACTGCTGATGGTTCAGCACCGGATGGCGATTACACTTGGGTGATCCCAGTAACAGTTTCCACATCACGTGATCCGAATAAGATTGCGAAAACTTTCTTGTTAGATCAAAAGTCGATGGAAGTTGTATTGGAAGATGTAAGTGCAGATGATTGGGTAAAAATCAATCCTGGCACAGTCGGTTTCTATCGGACAAGATACTCCAAGGAAATGCTCGAGAAATTATTGCCCGCTGTGCAAAAGATGGAGTTACCACCACTTGACCGTTTGGGTTTGATTGATGACATGTTTGCGATGGTCCAAGCAGGACAAGCAAGCACAGCTGAAGTGCTGAAGCTTATCGATTCCTATCGCAATGAAACTAATTATACTGTATGGACTGCTATTACCAATTCATTGGCGAACTTGCATATACTGATTTCTCATACAGACTTAATGGATGATTTTAACCGTTATGGGGAAAAGTTGTATCGGCCAGTGGCTGATCGCTTAAGCTGGGATGTGCGAGAAGGCGAGAACCACTTAGACACTTTATTACGAAGTCTGATTTTGTCACGTTTGGTGTCATTCCGTTGCAAGGACATCATTGCTGAAGCACAAAAACGGTATATAAATAAATATTAGGCAATTTGTCATGGTACTATATAGATCTTTGTTTTAATGTGCTTTTATCAGGTTTAATCAACACGCCGATGGAACGAACCCTATCCCAGCTGACTTGCGTTCCACATGCTACAAAGCGGTATTGCAAGATGGTGATGAAAAAATCTTCAACGAGATGCTACAACTTTACCGTTCCACAGATTTGCACGAAGAACAAGATCGTATTTCAAGAGCCTTGGGTTGTATTGGCAATGTAAATATATTACGTAAAGTTATAGATTTCGCCATGTCGGTAAGTACGCAAATATTTGGTCGTTTTTATTGCTGATGGTAATATTGTCCTCAATGGTATTTTAGGGAGAAGTACGTGCACAGGACTCAGTTTTCGTTATTGTTGCTGTAGCGGTGAACCCCAAAGGACGAGATATGGCTTGGGAATTCTTCAAAGACAATAATCAAAAGTTATTGCAACAATATCAGGTGAGCACGCTTTACTTCCCGAATGAATTCACATCACTAGTCTATGTCATTCTGCTTTCCCATCTTTTACAGGGTAGTTTCCTCTTGACACGCCTTATCAAGTATCTCATTGAGAACTTTGCTTCGGAGGAACGAGCTACTGAAGTGGAAACTTATTTTAAGAAAAATCAGTTTCCTGGTACCGAGCGTACTGTATCTCAAGCCGTGGAGACCATTCGCCTTAACGCTAACTGGTTGAAGCGTGATTTAGATTCCTTGACTACTTATCTGAAAAATCAGTAAAATTGCTCCGTACATATATATATCCTGTTAACCAAGAAACAGAAAAATTAATGGGAAAACAGAGTCACAGCTGAAATAAAAGTATCATAAAACCAAAGCTCATCATAATACAGCACTTTATACGGTAGGGCAATTAATCGGTTAACATATTGATTTGCGAAGCTGTTTAACATACGAAATTTACAAATAATATAGTAAAACAAAATGGGAAGTATGCAGAGAAACTTTTTTCTAGATAAACACATATTGGCAGATTTTTTAAAATTATAATTGTTTGCAAAGAACATGGGTTATCGAGCATTTACTACATACGAAGGTATTTTTTTTTTCAAATTTTTAACAGCTTACAAGCTGAAGAATGATTGCAAATTTGATTATTTATATAATCTTATTGAAAACCACCGTTAGTACGCACTGTGTATTAATTTTTTTTCTATATCCTTTGATATCTAGTATATATTGATTTGCCATTGAACGTAGCGCTTATAATTTTAAGTAATTTGATTTTGTTATCCAGTGCACGACTATATAAGCTTATATCAACATGTTCAAATAAAATACAATTTCATTAACAAAAGCTATTGCAGAGCAAAAATTTGAATGAATTTGCATTTTTAGATATAAATACTGTAATATTGATACCTGTATTTTTAAATTACATAATATAAATTAATAAAATGATCAAAACGAATTAATTACTCAAGGCGTTTCCATATATTCATTGAGGAAAAGGTTGTAACTCATTTTGGTATATTGTGCTTTTAACGGTTTAATTTGGACATATTTGAGTTAATTTTAAACAACTTTTAGGTAGTTTCAATAAAAATCGGAATGCTTTCATAATTACTATTACGAAATGACTAATAAATGTCAATGTTACATTTTATGGTCAAGCACAATAACGGCTAGTTGATATGCCACTTTCCGGTCGATGCAAATCGTCTATTAGTTCCAGCATACGACGCTTAAATAAACGCTGCTTATGGCGAGGCAATGACAATATATCGTCGATATTACCTCGAAAAAATGCTAGGAGCTGCTCTTCATCGCGATTGTCACATTCACTACGATTCGCACTGACATTGAACGACTCTACAACCGTAGTATTATTGCCTATTTCACATTTTGTTGCACTAGATGAAACATTTATAGGAGCCGCATGTTTCATTTGCTCTGCTTTTTCTTCATCCAGCTTTAATAGAGGCGATTGTTGATTCACTTTCATTGTCATGGCCACATCCGATTGTCGAGTTAATGGTTTAGATGCATTAGCGGTGAGTTGAAGTTCATTCAATATTTCTGGATATGCAACGTTTGTACTTTGATTAGTGTCGTTGTTGTTGCTGTAGTGCTTAGTATCATCATTTGTAGAGAATGTTCTTTGTATTGTAGAAGTTTCACAAATATCTTCACTAGGATCTTCAATAGAAATTCTCGTCTTTGCTCCGCGGGAGAGCTTCCTCCTCTTCTTAGTTTGTCCTATTTTTTCCGTTGACGGCAAAAGAAATTTCATTTCATCATACAAATAGAAACGTTTGCGACGAGGTGTGGGTAAATCTTCGGTACAATCCCCATAGTCGGAACGAATATTAGTATTATATTGAATGCTGCGTAAGAAGCCAGTGCGAACATTTCTCCATTTTTCGCGGCAAAATACGTCTGCAAAAAAAAGTAAAAATAAAAAAATCACGTCAAACCATCACATCTACTATATAATTGCAACATGACCATGTCATGTCGCTTGACATAACCATGCCTATACATATATATGTATGTAAATTGTAGATACCTGCTCTGCCTACATCAACAGCAACTTCTTGCCAAGCCTTTTCCAATTTGTCTCGCTTTGCATATTCTGATGAGTGTACATTCCATAAGCAATCACGCTGTTTTACAGCTTTAATTATTTTTACAATAAGTTCAGTGTCGGCCATTTCACGCTAAAATACACACAATAACTTCACGTCATTGATGTGATGATCTGACGCTAACTTTTATCGTTTGCAAAGTGTCACATCACATACCGAGTTTGTGATTTTTTGACATATTGATAAATTCAATCTGTATATCTATATGCATTTATCTTTAGTTATTTTTATAAAGAGCTTTGGATAGCACATTATTTTTTGTAAATGAAATTCTTTATATAATTTTATATTTTCACCCGACTTAGAAATGAGATGTTTTAAAATCGATCTGTCGGCAAAGTAAAAGAACAAACCTTCTGCTATTTATAAATTGTTATCAGTAACAGCTGTTTCTGACAGCAGCCATTTTTGTTACTTGTAATGCTTCTTGTTCTGATACATAAATTTCAACGAGACGGTAAACAAGTTGCTAAATAAAATGTTTATAGCAGTAAAAAGTTAAAAATATATACGAAATATGAAACACTACAAATTAAATACACATCAAAAGTCCTACAGCGGTAAGCTAGAACTCTACTTCGTGGTTGCTTGCGATTCCAAATATAAATTTTCGTATTTTAGATGCTGATTTGCTGATTAATCAAAAGGAGCATCCTGACACAAAAATAGGCGATGTGGTTGAGGTTTATGACCGCGAAGATGAAAACACCAGATTATTACTGCAAATTACCAAATTTAACGATCTTCGCCGTGAGGAAATTAGTATTGAAGCAGGCATTGCTACGCAGTTTAATTTGAGAAAGTTTGCCTATGTTTTTATGCGACGAGTGAATGCAAGTGATGTAGCTCTTGATTCTATTGAAATTACGTTTAAAGATCAATATATGGGAAGATCCGAAATGTGGCGTTTAAAAACATATTTGGTATGTATGTATATGTTAACTTCTTTTAATATCATTGTAACTGTAACGTGTTAAGTCTTGCCATAACTACTTAGTCTTGCCATAAATTCTGTTACAAAGTTTACATGCATGCAGCGAAAACAAATTCCCAGAAAAAGTGTTATTATGTTTGACACGAAGCTTATAACACCCAGAAGGAAACGTCGGAGACTTTATTAAATTTATGTACATATTATATATATAAATGATCTGTATGACGAACTGAATCGATTTTGACATGTCCGTCTCTCTGTCAGTTCCAAGGATTAAAGAAACGAGATTGCATTAATCGGGACAAGAAATTTAAGAATGATAAGAGGCAACATAGAAAACTGATAAATGACCTGTAAATTGTAAACAGTTTTTCTATGTTGCTTTGTTTTTGCTATATTTACATTCTTGATCACAATAAATGTAACAAAAACTGAAAAAAAACAAGTGAAATACATAGTAGGTTTTGAAATTTCAAAATTAGTGAAAAAAACTGATGAACCCGCTAAAAGCGAGGTGCCAATCTTCAACACTTTCTGCTTAGACTATGTTCATACGAGGGCTTTTAGTTTTCGTAGGTGAGGTGATGACAAGGAAAGATGAAGGGACCGTACCGCTCGTGATGTTGTTGTTGTTGTAGCGGAAACGCTCGGTTTCAAGTGAATAATTTGACTTAGGTTCGGAAATTTTAATTTCTTTTTGGATATAATATGTAAATATACATAATATAATAAAAATATTTTAATAAAGGGTGAATAAGTATAAAAATTAGCTACTTAAAAATATTTTTGTGCTGAGCGTACAAGAATGTGATATGAGAGAAATGTCCGACAAGAGATGTCGCACTCATGTCGCTCGTGTGAACGCATAGAGCGACACCAAAAGAGAATTTGCAAATAATGAGCAACAAAAATAGTCTTCGTCTGAACGCAGTCTTCCCCCCTGAGTTTTCACATTCGATTGCATTCTTATCGCAATTCCTGTCATTCTAATAGTTTTCGCCTGTGTATACAGCAGAGAACGTAGATTTACGCAATTGACCCTTTTTCTATAAATCTACGTTCTCTGTATACATTGTGAAGAATTTAAGATTTGTTAATAATAGGTTTAGACAATGGTTCAGTGTTTACATTCGCTTATTAACAATGGAGTGGGGAAATAAAGAAAATCGTATTGCCGTGATTGCTTTATATAAATGTGGAAAAAGCGCAGGTGAAATTCATGAGCTTCTCAAAGAACTTAATATTTCGAGAATGTTTGTTTACCGCACTATTGATCGTTTTACCAAAACGTCTACAATTGATGACAGAAAAAGAAGTGGTCGTCCTCGTGTAGTTCGAACCGATTCAGCCATCAAAACTGTTCGTGAACGCATAAGCAGAGATCCCTGTACAAAACAGACAGATATGTCTAAGGAAATGGATATATCTGCCAGATCAATGGCAAGACTTATTCGAGATGATCTCCACATAAAAGCCTACCGTCGGTCAACTGGTTCGAAAAACACAAATGAATTATCTAAAAAAAGTATTATTCAATAAAATTAACTTAATTAAAAATCGTATTATATGTAGTTTAATTTTTATAATGGCCTAAATTTGTAACAGAACTTATGGCAGGACTAAGTACATTAAAAGTCATTAATGTGTACTACTGTTGCTATGTTTCTTTCGTTTAGCTTACTGAGCAATGTTATAATATAAATTACATTGAAATAACTTAGAGATCTCCAAAAAATCTTATATTAATTTTTAGACGGACACCTGTGTTTATATAAACAAAAAAATTGAAAATATTGAAATGCAAATTCGTTGTCAAGTTTATGAGATGTGGGCTCAAGGCGAACGCGTTTCCTGTGGAGTAATAACGGAAGAAACAAAGATTGTATTCCGCAGCAGTACTTCAATGGTATATTTGTTTTTACAAATGTCATCAGAAATGTGGGATTTCGATATACACGGCGATTTATATTTCGAAAAGGCAGTTAATGGGTTCCTTACTGAACTATTTCATAAATGGAAGAAATTAGGCTGCAATCACGAAGTCACGATTGTATTGTTTTCTCGAACATTTTATGCTGCGAAATCACTTGACGAGTTTCCAGATCATATGCGGGATTGCCTTCAATTGGATTATAAAGGCCGTTATTATGAAGATTTTTATCGTGTTGCTATTCAAAATGAGCGCAATGAAGATTGGTGCACCGTATTGACACAGTTACGCAAACTTTTTACATCATACGAATCAACGGTGCTGCGTTATCATGAGCGTGAGGGTATATCCATTCCTGCAGCAACTAATTCTACAGCGGCTCAGGGCAACTTCCTGGAAGTATTGAATATTTCATTAAACACGTTCGAGAAACACTACCTGGATAGGACATTTGACCGAACAGGTCAACTGTCTGTCGTTATCACACCTGGTGTTGGGGTGTTTGAAGTCGACAGAGAACTTACGAACATTACTAAGCAGCGGGTAAATTACAATCTGTGGATGTGAAAACTATTTAAATATTTCATTTATATAATTGAATTTTTCACTGCAGATAATTGATAATGGCGTTGGTAGCGATTTAGTATGTGTAGGAGAGCAGCCATTACACGCTGTTCCACTTTTAAAATTTCACAACAAGGACACTTCTTTAACCTCAGCAGACGATTATTCACTTCCACATTGGATTAATTTAAGTTTTTACTCAACTAACAAAAAAGTGGCATACTCAAATTTTATACCGCGCATAAAATTGCCACCAATTGTCGCAAATATCACATTAAATAAGGAAGGCAGAGTGAGTTCTTTGTTTATTTGATTAATTTATAGTTACATAATCAAACGCATCGATAATTTTATTTAAGGAAAGTGAAAAACATTTTTTGAGTTGCAACCAATCTGAATATATACATAATTCATTGTTTGATTATGATGCCTATGATGAGCAAATATTTCAGCCTCCACCAGCTCAGAGCACTTGGTATGATAATTTAAAATTCGAGATGATTCTAAGTATCAAGATATATATTTCTTTACAACATAGTTCGTTGCAGCGAGTTATACGTGCTAAAAAAACATCCGTACCCAGCTTAGAGACGTCCGCTTACCGAAACCATGACTGGGAGAATTTGACACCTACTAAAATTCCAAACTTGCGACGTAAAATGTCTGATCCAGATATATATCATGGTACATCAGGAATGCTAGCTGCGTTGGTAGATATACATATACGTTCATATTTATTTATGAAACAAAGGTTAATAACCCCATTCTCTGTAGACTGATTCCTCCAACTTGTCTGAATCATTAGCTTCTGATAAGAATTCACGACGTTCTATTGTTTCTATTGCTCCTATCGTTCGCCCGGGGCGAGCATTAATTAACCCATTCGATCCATCCCATGTTACAATAAAACTCACTTCGAATCGCCGACGCTGGACGCACATATTCCCAAAGGTAATGGATTAATTACAAATATTATTTATTTTAAATATTAACAACTCAGTGTAGGCAATCAGCAGATTTCAAAATTACATTTATTTTAGTTTAAATATGAAAGTAACCACTTATCTATAGATAGATTCATAGATAACACCTATAAAATATCTATATATACTTAATAGGGACCTACCGGGGTTCTAATACAACAACATCATTACCAAGCTGTACCTGCTAAGCCCCACAATTTAAGCTACAGTAATATTATTAATAACGATAATGAATACACTTTAGGATTTAGCACCTTTGATTATGATCACACATCCACATGTTCCTCGTTAAACAAATCTTTTACATCAAGCAATGATTGCGATAGAAATGAATGTAAGCGAGTGAAAACCAGTTTTATGAAAGAAATGATTTATATGATTTTTCTCTCAAGTCCTCAAGAAACGAAATAATTCACTCTTGAACAATAGTCCAAATAATGTGACAACAGGCGCGCCAGTACCCACGAAAAGTTTCTTATGGGGCGCGACGGGAGAGCAAGAATGGACACCAGCTATAACTACAGGTATGTTCTTATAGGACCATAATACGTAATAAATAATTATAAAAAAAAAAAATATTTTTGATTTACGTACATATTTTACAAATATATATAATAATATAAACAAAATATATTATGGCTTTGAAATGTTTTTTTTTCGCGTTTAACATGTCTCCAATGTCCTTAATGTAATAAGCTATTTATATGTAATAATGTACTTTATTTCCTCATTTGACTAAAATGTATTTGAATACTTTTTAATTTTGTTGCTTTAACACAGAGAATCTCCTAAATGTCTTATTTGAAGTTAAAAACAATCCAATAATAGCATAGTCTATTATAAAAAGTGGTTTTATGATTTCCAAACCACACATACGTATGTATTTTGTCGATTTTTGTATACACTGGCATACATAAATGGTAGAAGTCATGTT